GAGATAGAAAAATTAATATAAGCTACAAATAAATCAAAATTAATATTTTAATAAATTTGGAATTCTTTTAGGATAAACTATGTACTGCAAAAAATAAAAAATAAACTTTGTTTTATCAATTTTTTATATCTAATTTAAGGTTTCATAACATTAACAATAGAAAGGAAAAAAAATTTAAAGCAAAATCTATTGCGACGCACTTACATGGCAGAATAGCTTACTGTCAAAACACCACCTATCAAGAAGTTTGGAAATAAAACACTTAAATTAACATTATAGTACAATATGTATTATCCATACTTTAAAATAGCTTTAAGCATTTTAAAAATTCAAATTTATAACGATTAGATAGATTCAAATTCCTAACCTCTAAACCATAAAATTTATTCATTCAATTGTTTTCAAAAACCAATTTCATACATATATAAAAATACTGATAAAATGAAATTTATAAATAAAAACTCTTTCTAACAAAAAAAAGTGCTAAATATAAGTGATGGATGGATGCTCAATGCATAAATCAATAATTTCAAAAGAAACTGAACATTCCATTTATAACTTTTTTCTCATCATCTGCGCTCCTTTTCAGATCCAGAAAAATTTGTTTAAAAATGGGAAGGTAAAAAGATGAGTTTATGTGGCTGGGAGTGCAAATTCTAAAACTTATGCATTTGAGATCAGTAAAATCAGCATAATAGTAGCATTTTAAAAAATCCCAAATAAGACATTTTTTTATTAAAAAATACTTTTCAGTATGTTTTTTTATTAAACATACAATAAAAGTATTTAAAAATTTTACTAACACCAAAAAATCTCATATATTATCTTTTCGAATAAAACATAGCATTAAATTTCTTTGAAAAAATATTTTTGATTGAAACATTTTTGACTCATTCCTCCAAAACTGTTTCTGAAATATTAACTTGTATAAATACAACAATTATGCTAAACAATACTGCAATCTGAAACCAATTTTATTCAATTAAAATTATGGATTTTTGAAATTAGTTTTTTGCTTATCTACAAGATTGCGGCTTCTAATTTTAAGGATTTTCGTCGTGATTTTAATTATTTGAAGTTTCAACCATTGATGTAGTTTCTATTGTATACACAATATTTCCTTACATGCGTACTGTAAAGATCAAAGCATATTACATTAACTTCATTAATTCAGTCCATTTTCGATTTTCGGTTATTATATTATTGTTTTGTATTTTATTTTTGTTATTAAATTATTTATTATTAATTTATTACTGTTTCAATTATTATAAATTTAAAAATGAACAAAATTTTCAAGCTAAAGCTTTTAATATTTTTTGCTAAAAAAACTAAATTTAGGTAAAAAAAAAAAACTTACCTCAATAACAAATTTATACACATTTCATTCTACTAAAAATATGGATTTTTGAAATTGGTTTTCTGTTTATCTACAAGATTGCGACTATTAATTTTAAGGATTTTCAGCGTAATTTTAATTATTTGAAGTTTTAACCGTTGATGCAGTTTCTAATGTATAAACAATATTTCATTACATGCGTGCTGTAAAGTTAAAGCATATTACATTAGCTTCATTAATTCAGTACATTTTCAATTTTTGGTTATTATATTACTGTTTCGCATTTAATTTCTGTTATTAAATTATAAATTATTAATTTATTATTGTTTCAATTATTATAAATTTAAAAATAAAAGAAATTTTTAAGAATAAAGCTTTTAATATTTTTTGTTAAAAAAATTACATTTAGGTAAGAAAAAAAAACTAAGCTAAATTACAAATTTATACGCACGAATGCTCAAAAATTGCTTACAAATAATACATGTGAATATCGAACATTAATACTTAGTATAGTACATTTGGATTAAATATTATTAATATTTTAACAATGATGAATGAAATTTAATAACAATTGTAACACTATTTTTCTTCTGCAAAAATTTGAAACATTTTTTTAATATAAATTTTAAATAAAAAATCTCCGGATAAATTAAATATTTCTCCTTCTTGTGTCCCTTTTGATTATTCCTAAGTTTACACTTTTTTTTAAATTATCGATAGTTGATTATTTATAAAAGCGATATATAATCGTTAATTTTGTTTCGAGTAACATTGAATTATATTAATAATAATTTTATTAAAAAATTTATCTTTGTTTCTCTTTTTTAAAAGATTTCGAGATTTAGGAAATAAATGATGAATAAGAAGCAATTACAGCCTAGTAACTGTAAAAATAACTAATTGCGGTAAACAATATTACGTTTCAGAATCATAAATATTATGTTTAAACATTAATATATCGTTCAAAAAATTAACTACTTCTACGTTTTGAAATAAAATATGCTAACTTATATGATTATTTTTATTGTCTGTGGTACCTTATTAGTAAAACGCCAGTTATATATGATCGATTTCCTTCAATTTCTAATCAAAAACTGGAAAATACAATGAAATTATGTTCAATATTCCTACAAATCCCTTGAACATATAAATTTTAATGAGACAATTTGTATTTTAGAAGTAAGCATTTCAAGAATTTGAAATTAAATATAAGCACTGATGTGATGATTTGCAATGTTTATTGTAAATTATCTGTAAAATATAAGATAAATATGAGCCATTTCCTTCAATTTCAAAACAAAAAGTGAAAAATACAATAAAATTATGTTCATTATTTTTTAAATCCCTTGAATATATAAATTGTATTAAAAACAAATTTGTGTTTTAGAAACGTTAAATTTCATTGTTTCGAATTTTTATTGAAAATATAAAGGACTATGACAGAACCAAGAGCCATGATTTTTAAAATTAAGATGTTTCAATGAATAGATTTCATCAATTTAAGCAATGAACGGCTCATATGTAAATTTTTAAGTCTAAAAGTATTAATTTTCTGTGAGAAGACTTGATATCTATTATTTTACTTAACAATAACTATACAAGCCATTAAAATATTAAAGTATCATTAAAATTTCATGCATGTTTTGAAGACGATTTTACTTACTTGAATATCAGTTATTTCAACAATTTGAATATTTTACTCATATCTCAAAGCTTGAATAAATGAATCTTTAACATATTTCACAAATTGTCATATGGGAATCATTTAAAATTTTAGTCTATATTTTATTCACTTCTGCAAAAATGCTGCATTTAAGCAAAGTCGAATCGTTAAAATTTAAATATTTTCCTTTACTTCACAATAAATTATTCATTTTCATGAAACATATAAATCTGCTTTGAGCTCTTTTAAAATGTAATTTCCTTGCACTTTAAACTTATTCTTATCCCCTTAAGAAAAGTTTTGCTTTTAAAGTCAAAAATTCAATAAAATATATTCTTAGAGAATTCACATATTAAATATACGATTTCTCAAAATTTTTAACAAACAAAAAAGCAAGAAAAATACATTGCCTGATGTAAACTGTACATTTATGCAAAGCATTTTATGCAAACAAAATTTAATAATTATGATTTTTTTACAGTGTTTAAGGTTACTTTGAATAAAAATATGTTTAAAAAAGAATATGTTTTTTGCAAGCACAACATCTATTTTGAAGTCAGAAATCTAATAAATTATGCAGAAATATCATGATAACTCATTATTAATAAATTAGACCTGAAAGTCATCAATTGAAAAAAGCTAAACCTAAAACAATGTTTAATTGGTTGGATTTACAAATTTTGAACTCAGTAAATATACTACTTGATATTTCGTATTTAAGCCAGGATAAATAACTAATAGGCTGGGACAGCCTGGTTGGAAGGGCGTTAGACCCATGTAGGTCATGAATAGGTCATGAGTTCAATCCCCGCCTGCTAAAGACTCCTTATGTGACTCTCTATGACTGGTGCATGTTAAGTTTGTCGAATCACAAAGTCCTCCATCTGCCCAACCAATCCTACCGCTGGGGGGTACTGAATTGCATATTGATCGTTCTCTGGTTTAGGCCAAAATAAAAATTTGTGGATGAATGAATGGAAGCATGAATGGGTCCACTCTATAAGCGAATTGTGACGCATGTGTGGTTGAAGTCGTATTCTTGACCATAAACGGTGCCACCGAAAAACAAGAAATGCATCTTCTACCTTAAATACGCTTGATTTCACCAAGCTGGCTTGCTGGTCTGGTAAATGCCAATAAAAACAGCAACATAAATAACTAATAGTAAAACTACATGCTTCTGTTTATGACAATAAATTTGGGATTTTTTTAACCATGACAAGTGAACTAACTCCTGATCATTTAGAACTAAAAACTAACTACTAACCATACATACATTATTGCCTGATTAAAAGCTTCTTGTGCTTCAAAAGTATGTAAAAAGGAAATTATGGTTGACGCGTGTCAAGCGTTAAAAACAGGTACCCATTTTCAATTGCGCGTTGGAAGTACATTCCCCCCTGATTTTCCTCTCTTGGCCACTGTAGTTTTTTTTTTTTTTTTTTTTTTTTTTTTTTTTTTTTTTTTTTTTTTTTTTTNTTTTTTTTTTTTTTTTTTTTTCCATCTCTTTTCTCTTTCGGCTATTTTAGTTTTTCTTGTTTTGTTTCTTACATTTATTTTGCCATTATTCGTTGGAAATTTTTCGTTTTACATTTCAAATCCCTTTTTTATTTCTCATTCACGTCTGGCAAGACTTGAAAACGCGCGCCTGATTTTGAGTGCTTGAAATATGTTGATTTTTATTTCCCCTTGATATATTTTCGAAGCGAATGAGGATTTTTGTATCAGATATTATCTTACAGTTTTAGTTTCTTGGGGTAATTTATTTTATATACATACATTATTTCTTTCAAAATTCATTTATTGCAACTTTATAACTAAGTTTATTGCTATTTCTTAACGTTTCGTTCAATGTGACATTGTTAATTACTAGCTTGAAATTCGTATTTGTTTTTATAAAAATATTACTTAAATATATTTCACTGCAACTTCAGTAGTACGAAATAAATAAAGAAGCTGCGTAGAATTTCGAACACAAATAGCATAACTTCAATTACTTACATTGAAGTATTTTCAATCTGAAGTAAAACCACTGTTTCTCACATTTCCGCAATAGTTCCCTTTGGCGACATTGGCATAGAAGTCACGTCTTACCGAGGTCTTTGCTAAAACAAAACGAATAAAAGTTGAGGTCTACGTAGTTATTTAAATATAAGCGAGCTCTCTGGTAACGCACTTTAGAAAGGGAGTGAAAATTCAGGCTGCATTCTTTTCTCATTTTCGTTTGGAGCCCTATCAAAATGATGTCAAAGTTCCTACGTGACTTTGACGAATATACGCACACCCTTAAATTTTTGTAAAAAATATATGAGGAAAAAATATTATTTTGTTTTATAGCAGCATTCCTTTTGCAGAAATATTAAGCAAAAAATTCAAAGTACCAAATTGATTGTTTTAATTCAGAACAGAGAGTTTTTTTTTCTCTTCAAAACCGCGTATTTATAAAATACATAAATACATGAAACATTTTTATTTTCGAAAAAACAGAAATCTGTGATCAATTTGAATTTTTTTTTTTAATGTTTCGGAAACAATACTACAATAATATAATGCAATCATCACTAATTGAGTCTTCCGTTGTAATCAGCATCAGATTAAGTTAACTACTTTAACTATTGCTTACTCATAGAATATTTTTAATCCCTAATTTAAAGGAATTTACTTTTGATATTAATTATTATTCCAAGCTCAAAACTTAAGTAAGGCTTAAAAATCAATATTTTTTTCATTAAATAGTAAATAATTTATACTAACATTTATTACAATTTTTCTGTAAAATTAAGTCGAGTAAACATATATGCAACATATGTAAAGGAACATATGCACATATATGCAGCACATATACACATATATGCATCACATATGCACATATATACAACATATATGCATTCAAAACAATGCTAAAATAGATATTAGGATGTGTCTCAATGTGAAAAATGACAATTTTTTGATGCCACTAGCGTTTACGTAACGACTAGACAAAATAGAAAATATGATCCGATGTAATGCATCTTAAACCATAAAAAAACGAGGGAATTTTGTAAAAATGCATATGCGTACTATCTAATATGCACAGCAAAAAAAATGGAATTATTGACATATCTTATTAAGAAGTTTTTGTATTGGTTGCTTTTAATGAAATAACATTGCTCATCCTGGTGACTTACTTTCCGATACTCCAAGGGGTGCCTTAATTATAGTCAAGTCAAAAGGATTAATACAAAATTGTGAAACATTAGTAGAAATTGACATTCCTTTTTACTAAATAATCTCTCCTCAAAATAGTTATTTATAAAAATCGAATATTGAATGGAATGATAAAAAGCTAAATTGTAGATTAAGTTACAATTGTTACCGGCTGAACTTTTCTGACAAAAAAGCTTTAATTATGAACGCCTCCTTATTAAGAAATGATTACTGAGAAAAATAATTTATGCTCGCAAATTGATCTTTACAAAATATTAAGTGAAATGTTTGAAAGTGAGAAGCATGAGCTTTTAATATTTTTTTTTTGTTAAAAAAACTAAATTTAGGTAAGAAAAAAAACTGAACTCAATTAAAAATTTATACACACATATTGAATGAATTATACGAACGTCACGCAAATGCTCAAAAATTTTTTACATATAATACATGTGAATTGCGAACATTAATACTTAACAAAATATTAAGTGAAATGTTTGAATGTGGGAAGCATGAGCAAAGAGAATGTCATATAAGGTTATAATATATAGGGTCCCATTATAAGGACTGAGTCACATTGGCTCAGTGTTAAGGATCTAAACTGCAAAGAACCCAGCAAAAAAGCCTATTCTGAGGAACTGGGGTTCGATCCCTATTTGTGACTTGCAGCCAATCCAGCTTTTGATCTGTGGATACCAGCTTTTTTGGGAAGTAAAAGTGGCTTGTTTACAGCGCTGAACCTATTGTCCCAATCATACCATTGGTCACAAAATTGTGGTGTCTAAATTTTTTTTCAGCTTAATTTCTCCACGACCCCCTGGACTACAACGGGCTGTTACAGGAATGCTTTGTTGTTGTTGTCGTATGTCATTAAGGCAAAGAGGTGTGCTTATTTCTTTTCTAGTGGCGCTACTCATGGCTAAAAATTCAACTTCTGCCACACATATTTGCCTCAACTCGTTCATAGGGCCCACCCATTTATACATCCATTCATTTTCCCCTATATCGTAATTTTGACTTGAAACAAAGAACGATCAACCCTCAATTCAGTTCCTCCTGAGATATGATTAGTTATAGGAACATGAAGGACTTGATGACCCGGCAGATGTAAAGTGCGCCAGTCACAATTTACGACAAAAGGAGCAGGCGGGGAGGATCGAAATCAAGATCCCATTGACATGGGCCCAACGCCCTACCAATCAGGCTATCCCGGAGTCCAGGAATCCTTTGTTTAGTCATAAAAACTGATGAGTAGCAGCGGACAGGGGACTCTAGTCCCTAGTTACACGAAAACAAGTAAGAAAGTGGATGAAATTTAATATACTTCAAACATTCTGGAAACATGATTGGAATAATATTTAAATTTGCAGTCCTATAAGACTTGTATTTAAATGAAACTGTTCAAAAGTTTTTAATTTCGCAATGCAGGGATATGGAATAGACAAAGACTTGATTTTCAGAAAAAGAACGATTTCCAGTAACTGTATCCCCTACTGTGCAACATAGTACACTTTTCGGCAGTCATTATATCATCTCGCTCTGTTGACTGTGAGAAAATGTATAACGTTCGTTATGAAGACTATAAACAAAACAAAACAGAAAATCGAGTTTCGGAAAAAAATCTGTCGGTTTTCATCTGCATGTGTAAACTGATCCTTTAGGGATTATAGTTTAAAATAAAGTATAGTTTAGGGGTATAGTTTAAAATAAACATTTAAAATGCGTGCCTTAAAAAAAGACCAATGAGATAGAACACTCATATAAGTACAATATATTTATTCTTGTTTAAACTAAATATTTTCGTTTTTTGTTCTTTAATTAAGTGCTTTAGTCTTAATTTATACGTATGCTGAGGCTCTTTTTAAAATGAAAATCTAAGAAATAGGATAGGGAGCATATACATCTTGTGAAATATTTGATTTACGAGCATTTAGATCAATTATATATTTTGTGTTTTAAAAATATTTAGAGGAGAAACTTATTCGATATTTTTCCATGTGCGCAAAGCTCTTTTATTGTTATTAACTCGCAAAATATATAAAACCCAAAGGAAAGGAATGTGAAAAAGGCCAACATTCATTGACGAATAGCATTTCTCTCCCTGTGGTAGTTATGAAACATCATAAATATTAAATTTTAACTCTATAGTATTGAAAAATTGTACTAAGAAATTATACTTAAATCTATTTAAAGTAAATATTATATTGAATTAAGTGTAATAATATTCTATTTAAACATTATTGTATTTTAATAAAATTGTAACTCCCAAAACTATCAAGCATAATTAAAAAATCTAACCTATTGTTTGTTTTTGGAAAGTGCCCTCAGGTAACCTTGAATTTCTTTTCAACTTATAACCTAGTTTATTTAAGCTTTTCTTTGCACGTGAGAAGAAAAAAATGCTTCATTCAGAAATTCGTAAACATATACGTTATATAGCATCTACGTTTATGACTGTCCACTTGTTTAATTGCTCATTTTTTTTATTTCCAAAGCAAAAATAAGAATGGCATTTTTTTGGCTTGTACGAAAAATATGTAATAGACTTCTAAATCAAAAAGTAAAGCATTGAATTTTAAGACGCATTCGTTACTCAAATGTCTGTTAGATAAGTATGTCCCATACTCATGTAAAATGGCTGTTTCATTTTAAAAAGTGCAATCAATGGAAAGAGAAAGCAAATACAGCATTAATGGACACCTTTTCAAATTACATATCACTCAATGACATGAAAACTGAATGAGATTCATTTGACGGAGAAAGCAAAAAAATGGAATAATTTTTTACGCATTTTAATTACTTGCGCCGCAAGCAGATGCAAGCAGATTGTAATTAGTAAAAAATCAAGAATATAGTTCATGAGACATGAATACTTTTTTTTTTCCAAAGTAAAGAATTTCTTAATTAACTTCATGAAGAATAATTGCCTTTTCACATTATACTAAAGTTGAATGAAACGTACGAATGTGATTAAAATTATATGAACTGTTGTACAAAATTTATTTTTGATAAATATATTAAATATAAGACACTCTTAAAATGTATCAAATAAGATAAATTCGATTCAATTGAATTTCTATATCGATCTTAGGTAGATCATTTAATTTCAGAATTATTATTTTTTAAATTTATTGATATTTATTATAAATAACATATCATTCTTGAGATTTTAAACCAGAAATGACATGAAATGTTTGATAAAGGAAATGGATAGTAGAAAAATCTCAGAATTCTTGAGCCGTACTTCTAAATAACAAAATAATTTTTAAAAATACAAATTTGTGAAACGTAAATTTTATGACTCTATTATAAATTAATGAGAGCAGTAATAGCCTTTTAAAAACATCTCCTGACATAAAAAGTCTTTTTTTTTCTTAAAAAAAAGATTATTTTTTTTAAGGCAAATTTGTAATTAAGGAAAATAAACCACATCTATCATACTACGAATTTACTAGGATTCTAAAGTTTTTCTTTAGAAAAAGATCGATTTTCATAAAGGAAGTTTAATAAATGGCCACGGTTTATTGCCACGGAAAATTCTATGGTGATATTAAGTGCACTTCTCTTTAGATGAAGCTGTGTAGAATAAAAACTGCCGAATAGAAGGTGCTTCACCACTTCATGTGCTCAGAAACTACTGCATTTTAATTGCGTGATTGCACTGTGTGGATTTACTGATTTTATCCTAGTACTATTTTTCTTAGGAATCCATACTCCTCAAGATTCTAAAACATGCATGGTGCAGAATACTCCTTCGACAGTAGGTTATTCCTGTTTTATGGAAAAGAAACTGCCTCAGACCACTGTCTTCTTGTAAGATGGAGAAACTCCCCAGATTGGACGCTAAGGCAAAGAATTGCTTAGTGCTAACTTTGGAGAGGATCGCGTAATATCCAGAGCTTTTCCGGATAACTGCCCTCCTCTCTCACTTAGAATCCCTGTTATCTGTGGTTCTAGGATTCCTAATAGAC